TGTGCGTTTAGGGTGATGGTGACATTACTGATAACGTACCAATTTGTTGTATCCATTGCGTTCTTCTATTATCTTCTTCCATCTGTATGCTCAAGGATCAGCAAATCTATTTCAACCAGTTTTAGTTACACATGACCACTATCTACTCTTGGATACTATATATAAAAACATTTCTGGGCAGTTTTTTCCTCTACTACTCTGCTATGCCATCCCTTTTCTGGAACCCTTCTATCATAGCCACTTCAACAGGAGAAAGATAGGGGATAGGCAGCAATACAGTTAGTTTCCCAGCACATCATGTCTTTTTGAAGGAGATGGTTTCTGGTACCAGAGGATGGGAAACCATCTCGAATGCCTTCAGTCATAAGCAAAACTTAAGCATGATGACTTTAGTCACAGTAACTCTGCCTAATCAAAACAGGGATTAATGTATCATTCTCAGTGATCAGGATGCCTGCTTATTTATATACACAAAATGTTTTCATGTCTAAATATTTTTTAGTGGCTTTTTCACTACGAAGTCCTTACATACGGGATTTCTCCATAGCACAGAAAGTCCTCATCAATGGTTTGGAAATAATGAGAATGTGCATAATGCAAAACAGAATCTGTGTTTCCTTACCAAGACAACTGCCTGATTAAAGGAGCTTTCAAAGGACCAAATCTCCCAGTGCATATTGTTTGTAACTGTTGGACCCTTTGACTCTGAGGAGAAGAGGCACGAGTAACAGAATGCTGATCGGACAATTTCAGAGTGCACCAATGTCCTTCCTTCTCAAGTTAGTCAATGAATATGGGATCTTACACTTCAGCTGAAGTCATGTGCAGATGACTATCACTCTTGTGGCCAGATAAACCCTCCGTGCATGTCTGGATCCATGTTAATCGTCTTTCCTTCATATGAGTCATTTGTGATAAGAAAATGTAGACAAGATTAAATTTCTATCAGACATATTTATAACTGGTTGGAAAACTGTTCCCAAGAAACAGTTAATTATGCTTCATTGTCAGACTGGGTGCATTAAAGCATGTTCTCCAGGGACTATATAATATTTAATTCATGATTTAAAAGACGGAATTAGCATTTAATGCTAGTGATACTACGTGGAAAAATACTACAAGATAGTATTATTTTCTTAAGAAATTACTTTAAGAATTTGTTTCAAAGAATGACATGTAATAACAATAAAGATGAATAGTAACTTCTCTGTTGATATAGAAGTAATCTTCTGTATAAACGCAAATAAGGGAGACTGACTAAGCAACAGTTCTGAACTGGAGATGACAGGTGGATCACAAGTTGCACATGAGACAACAGCGTATCTTTATAAAAGATGTAACTGTTATACTAGACTATATAGAAAGGAGGATTATTTGTAAAGCATACAAAGTGGTTCTTTTGTTCTTCTCAACACTCGTAATGTCTTCTCTCTGGTTTGGGGCACCATGACTGAAGAAGGATTCTGACCAACCGGACAGGTTCCAGAGGAGAGCAAAAGAATGGTCAGAAAGCTAGAAAATATAACTTGTGAGAAAATGTTGAATAAATAGGGGTTGTTTAATATAAAGAAGAGGAAACTGAGGAAATACATCTGTCTTCAAATACAGAAGTTAAAAAGTGAAGAAAATAGAGCTTTTTCTATGTCCACTGCAAAACAAGTTCAGGTCAAATAGCAAGAGAAGTTTTCTAACTGTATTTTGACTCAGATAATGAAGCCCTGAGACACATTGCCTGAGGAAGTTCTGAAGTGCCCATCATGTTCAAGAACAGATAAATCGGATATTTGTGAGGGATAGTTTTAAGTTGATTTTTCGAGCCAACAGAATAATCTTGATGACCTTTCCTGATCTTCTGAGCCCCATTTTCTGTTAAAGCCTATGATTTTTTTCTCACAAGTTGACTAGTAAGTTCTGCTCCTCCATATTAGTTTAATACCAATTCCATGGCCAGGGAGGCTGCTGTGCCCTCATTCTGTCTAATTTTATGATTTCCACTTGCGAGTAAGCAAGAGAATCCCTATTATTTCTCATGATAGGATAGCTGAAGCAGCTGTGGTAGCAAAGAAACATATTCATCGATCAACAAAATGTCCCAGGACTGTGCTTTTCTCTCCATCTGTCACAGCCCTGTGTGCACAAAGAGGCCTTAATGGCCACCACCTGTGTCACTTGTTGCCTCTACCCACACCTGTGGGTTCAGTTCAGCTCAACCCTGGGCTTTTAGTCTTTGCCTGAGCTGGGTACCGATCTTCAGCTCAGCTGCAACCATGGCTGTACATTACTATAGACATTGATCCAGACCCTAACTCACAGACTGAATTCCCAGTTTAACCTCGGACCTGTCTCATCACTGTGGACCTGCCTGGAGATCCATGGGCTGTGTTTGATCATGGTTACTCTCACTGGACCTGATCCCATCCTGTGGATTGACATCCCAGCTTGACCTCAGATCTGCCTCGTCACCGTGAACTCACCTGATGATATGCACTCTTGGTTGAACAGGTCTCAGGTCCGCCCACCCGCCTCGCTGGGGCACTGTGGGGCTCGGCTCTGGCTGGTGAGGCCCCTGCGCTGCCGGCTGGGTTATTGCTCTCAGCTCATGGCTGCCCTTCGCTCAGGGAGCAACCAGCCTTTGCTGCACCCTGACAGTCTGCCAATGCAGGACGTTGCAGCCCTCAGCCATGTCAGTTTTGATATGTCCCATCTCATGCCATAGCTGCTGGATAGGTCTTGTCACTAGAAGATCTGTGCTTTTCCTTTGGGAGGAAAGTTCTTATCAACAGAATGAAGAGTAGCAAGAGATGCACAGAACTGGCAGAACGGGTCAGGATGTCAGGCTGATGTCAGGTCAGCCTCTCTTACCAGGTGCCACTCGCGGTCATCCTGGACCATTTGCTGGTACTAAAGGAGTTCATTTCCATCTTTAGTTCTGGTGAGGTTCTTTCCTTGTCAACTCTTCTGCTCTCTCCCTATATTTTATATATGTATATGTGTGTATGCATATATACACACATAAATATTTACATATATCACCAGCTGTGCAAGTTCCCTGGGGGATGGATAAACCATTACGCCTGCACGTAATCTTCAGGTGTCCACTGCCTGAATCCAGTGATTTGCTTATGCCTCAGACCCAGGTGTCCTGGGCTAGTCTTTGGAAGTGTTTTTCCTACTTATGACTTCATCCAGGAAGCCAGATGAGAGCCAAACCCTTTTTGGATCCAAATGGCTTCCTTCAAGAAAATGTCTCCCTGCATACCTGTGATAAGCTTCTCCTGAGCATGCTTTTTACCTCTTCATCTTATCTGGAGGACTGATATACTTCCATTCTTTCTTTAAGGAAGAAATTTCTAGAGGTGAGGTGTCTTTGGACTTTTGTTATTAAGAGGCCTTTGACTTTTTACCTCCAAAGGACTAGGTCTTTCAGATCTAGAGTTGTTTGTGTCAGCAGCTGAGAGGTTGAAAGTCAGGAGTGCCAAGCAGGATAACCACCAGTGAAACCTGTTATGAAAACACCAAAAAGGAGCCACCCTCCAAGATTAATACACATTCCACTGGAGCTCAGTCTAAATTAGTGGCTTTCTTGAGTGATATCTCCATTGCTGACATCTGCTGAACTACTACCAGGAGTTCCCTCCACACCTTTGCCAAGTGTTTTGCCATTTCAGAAGTATCCAGGTATAACACAGTGTATGGTAACATGTTTCTGCAGTGGTTGATGCCTGAAGCATGCGATGTCTCCCTGCCAAGCACTGTGATTGTTAGGAGGAACTGCAGTATGAATATAAATATGGATAATCTGTATTAATATATTACTTCTGTTGTCAAGATTAAAAAAAAAGATTTACATATCAGTTACTGAAACTGTCAGAGGTGTGCTGTTTGTGAGCACACTCCCTTCACACACTCCTCCTCCATGGTGTTGGAGTCTTTCTCAGAACCTTCAGCCTTGGGATTCTGTGATGGAAAAGGAGGTTCGACAGCCTCCATGTTATGTATGCAGCAAAGCCAGCAAGCCTGATAGAAAGGCAGTGGAATGTGAGCTAGTCTGGTGAATACTGCGTGGATATGAAACTATCTGTCTCAAGGTTTTGCGGGACGTACAAAGTGCACATGCATGTAAGATGTGTAGATAGATAGATCCAGGTACTTGCGAAATAACTTTCCTCTTGCTATTGCAGTTTTCACTTCAGAAAGTAGGTCTTAACGCAAGACTTTAAGAGTCCATCCTCTTGTACATGCATATGATAATTCCCACTAATAAATAGATTTTTATTTCTTCTAATAAGGACATGACTTCTTATTATTGCTTTTAATAGAAGAAAAGAAGTCCCCTTAGATATTGTGATTCCTGGAACTGTGATGAACAATTTCTGCAAAAAGATCAGCCTGTGCGATCACGCTGTCATAAGGCTTGACATCACTGCTCTTCACTGGAGCGCTCCCCTTCTCTTCAAGTAATACTACTGACCTCAGCAGCAGTATTTGAAGAGAAAGGGTGCTTCACAGCATGAGAACGGGTGGTACAACTTGGCCTGTAATGCTTTACTGTGAGGTTTCTGGGGGCTTGGGGGGGAGAGGAAGAGCATTTATGTCAGAGTAAGAATATTATTGCTGTAGTCTCATATTAACATTGGAAACAGTATTTTAGTGAACTATAGGGTACACTGTGGTACACGGCTAGACCCACTGGAGTGAAGTGAAGCTCATCCCATTTGGATTTCTTCCATCTAATTTTATTTTCTGAAGCTACTTCTGTTCTTGCACAATGAGGATAATCTAGACAGAGCTGAATAAAGTCGTAGCCCCTCACTCCAAGGCTTGGTCTTATGGCTGGCTCTTTTTCAGGGCACAACAATGTGTCAGGAAACTCCTTGTGTCCTACCATGTTGTACATATGCAGATGGACCTATCTGTCTTCATTTCACTTTTTCAAACATTTGTTTCTTTTGGTCTGTGAATGTTGTGTAATTGTGTTCCTTTTTGTTTGTTTCTTTCAGAATGTTCTAATTGTGGAGGTAAGTTGGGTGCGTATGTCATATTGCCCTTAGTTAAAGTCACGTAGTCGAGTCGTGATTGTGTATTCAGTTTCTAAAACCAGTCTGTGTTTATCTCCCACCTTACTGGGAGGTGGTGAAGAGGGAGAGGGGTTGATTTGCTTAATAACCTCTCAAGTCTTTTTGCAATTGCATGACAGATCAAACTACATTGCTGCCGCTCTAATTGGTACTCTGCCTTGTGATAGCCGGCAGTCTTTGTTTCTACGTCACTCGATTTGTTCTTTCTATGGTTTCATCAACTCCTGTTCTGCAAATTGTTCTGTTCCTTGGAGGACAATGAATCAACTGCAATGATGCCCCACACTTCTCAGTTGCACGACTTTGAAATAGTAGCATAGCCCTGCACATGCTTTACAACTTCAGGGTCGTTCACACGCTGGTTGAGAATGTCAGTCATCCTCTTCAGTCCCCGTGGTGACTCCTGCTCGTTAGCGTTGCATCCCACAGTCTCCCCTGGGCAGGGCCCATCACAGATACGTTGCTGGTGTAAATCAACAGTGTTCAGTTGTAGAGGAGAATGTGTCGCCTCACTGGTGCTGCAAATTCTCTCTCAATTAATGTACAGGATTCTCTTCTAAAATGTCGGAGAAGCAGCTGGGATGGTTAGAGAGCATGTCAGGATCTAACTGGCATTTCAGGCCCAGTCTGCTTGTGTGGGAAGTAAGCTGGACAGTGTAATGAAGGACATGTATAAATGTTGGAATGTCTTTTCTTAGCAAAGGAGGGGAAAAAAGTCATCAGCCAGAGATGGCTGGTTACCTGAATAGCTGCCAGGAGCTCCGTATTTACTAATGCTAACTGCTGTAAGGGAAATGAAAAACATCCACAGCAAATGCTGTTACTGCTATTAGATATCTGGGAAGCAGAGAAAAGGTGTTGCTAATGAAAAATCCACACCCACAGAGTTCAGGATCAACAGCTGCTCTCAATGTCATGGTCGGCTTTGTAGCCGGGTGTCTACTGGTCTCATTCAGATCAGGTTGGATACAGCAGCTCTGGAGAATACTCATTTGTATTGGACTAATAAAACAACAAATAGGGCAGATTTAACCATGACATGGAGAGATGCTGGCATACTCTAGTCTTGAGCGTAATATGAAAAGTCTGATCCCTGTGTCCTTGCAGTGCCCAGTAAAGTCATCTCCAGTCCCATGTTCCATCCCAAGTACCAGAAACAGCTATTTTCAAGAGGAAGTGGACAGTCCTTTAACTGATTATTTTGTGAGTCAAAAGTGCTTGCTTCAAAGATTGTGAGCTCAGTTATAACTTTTTTTGGATGTGCTTCACAATATACTGGGAAAAATACATCATTTCCACAAAATAAGAAGGTGGAACTGCTCATTGTCCAGATTTCCCCTCTTCAGCTTTCCTTTGTTTTTCACTTATTCTGTTTTTCATGTTTTGTAAGGATATTGTTGGAACTGGAAGGACAATGAAGGTTCTGCTTAATAACATAGAAAAATGCAAGCCAAAAATGATTAAAGTGGCAAGGTGAGTAAAACGATCACAAAATATAGCAATTAATTAATCTAGCCCAACACATTTTCCAGTGGAATTTTGCATTCCAAGGTCCTGCTTTAATTCGATGCTGCAGTATCGCACGGGGAGCCCTGCAGAGGAGCTGCCTGAGTCACTAGGAGGAGGGTGGAGGAAAGGAGAGGAAATGCTTTTATATTGTTCTGCCGTGGCAATGACCCTTCAGCCATTTCAAGATTGGCAGTGATGGACTTTGAAAGGGAACACACCCATCTCTTCCCTGCCATCAGGACGTTGTCGGGAGGAGAAGCAGAACGAGAGCAGTGATTCACATGGCTCGGGAGTTTTTTGATAAAGGGAATAGTTTTTATGCACGTTATTCAGGTAAATATCTAGATTTACATGGGGTTTATTTTGTTTTTACTTACAGTTTGTTGGTGAAAAGAACATCTCGGCCTGATGGGTACAGACCAGATTGTAAGTGTTATTGTGAAAATCTGTACATGGCAGTACAAGAAGTTACCACTGTTCTACCACTTGCCTTTCATATAATTCTATGGACTGCCAGAAGCGTTGTAAAATATCAGTTGTCAATGGGACTATGGGATGCAATGGAAAGATTTGTATAATTGTGGCTTGGAAAACGTAGCCTCCTCATAGTCTGGTGTTTTCTGCAGACGATACTGTTTTCTGTACTAACTTTACAGGGAAGTTATGAAAGGGTCTAATTTTATCTATGAAAGGTGTTTTATCTTCTGTCTCTGACAAACTATGTAGAAGAGAGAGACCATTTTTTTCTTTTCCTTCCTCATTGCATCTCTTTGGAGGAGCTGCAGAATTCCATCTGAACATGAAAGGTGTTTTATTGTGACCCAGTCATTCACAAGTTTTACATTTTTATAACAGAATAACACTTGTTCTTATTTTTTGAAAAGTATTATTGTTTAAAGGGCAAACAGTGATATTATTATTAAATCCCACCCCCCCCAAAAAAAAATCAAAAGATAAATTGGGCTTTTTAAACTTCCTTCTGCTGCTCTGTTTGTGTCACACCAGCACTGCTTCTGTCAGAATTACTGGTACTTGTACTGTGCTGTGATGAAGCCGTAAATGGAGCTATACCAAGCTATTGTCATTTTAGACTTATTAGAATAAATGATGTAATAACAGGTATGTGGCTAAATACTGAAAAGAATAGATCCATCTAGAAGAAATCGACCAGTATTTGCTACTGAAGAAGGCTCTGGTCAGCTGAGCCGGGGAGGAGGGTAGAAGGAGAGTAGGCAGGTGAGTACCAGGAGGCAGCATGGAGGGTCTTGATTTGGGATGTGGGAGAGAGGGAAACGTTATGAAGCAGAAGTTACTCAATGTCGGGCATGGCCGTGCAGTTTTAGCCCGATAATCTGAACTGTGACCCAAATGTTTTGTTGTACAACTTTTTATACAGTGGTATTTTTAACATTTAGAATTTAATCCACTAAATTAAAGTATATATTCAACTGGATTCACTACTGTTAAACATATAAAAGACCCAACAAAATGACCTCACGAAGGGTAGCTTAGTATGTTGTAAAATGAAACCAGGTTTATCTTTGTTTATTCATACTGTGATTAATTTTATAAAACATCAGATATCACTCTTGTAAATCACTGGCAGTGCTGCATCATTTGCTCACTTACCTGAATTTATGATTCCAAAGTGTCTATTACCCACAATTTTTAACAATTGAATAAATTCCTTACTTGAATACCTGTAAAATTTTTTATGCTAACCTATTTTTGTGTCCATAAGGTTGTGTTTTTCTCTAGTTACTTAGTTAACAATTTGGAAAGAGTCTTTTATATAGTGCTGATACTGCACAAACCTTCACATTCAAAGAGATACGTGCCTATGCTTAGCTTGAAGTTTTTGAGTTGTATGATTCAGCTACACTGCATGCATTTACTTTGTTAAGCACATGCATGTGTCTTCATAGGGTTGGGGCTTTAATTTAAGAAGCATTTGACATGTTTTGGCCACATAATATGCAAAATAGTTTTTGCTCTTCTCAGAAGAAAATACTTAAATCTCTGAAAATTACTTCTGAATTAAAAATGTACTTTTTTTCATCATTAATGTGATATTGGACAGTTGTCATCACACACGTATACCAATGGAGCTTCCAAATGTCAGCAGAATTTTTGAGCTCTGATTTTGGTTTCCTTCCACAATATATCCGTTGTGCCACTGATAATGTACAAAACTCTTCTACTCTCCACTGACTATTCACATCCCTGTCACAGTCTATGAGTGGGAGCTGGGTACAGGGCTACTGCTGACCTTCATGTCTCAGAGTCAAAAGTAACATAACCTCAACTGACTACGTATATCTATAGTTTGCTTGCCAGAGACCCAACACATGAATGTAAGAGCTATCTAATTGCCACTGATCTTGTATTGACGGTGTTTGTTATTTGTCTCAATACAGATTATGGATTTGAAATTCCAGATTTATTTGTAGTAGGTTATGCCTTAGACTACAACGAGCACTTCAGAGATCTAAATGTAAGTTTCTTTAAAAAATAGTTTCAAAAAATCACTGGTTTACTTTTCCAGGGTTTCTTAAATACCCCATAATTTGCCTCCTCCCTGGGGCCTTAAAGTCACGGTTGGGATCCTTTCAGTGAGTGTAGAACTCCCTGCAAAACCTCAAGTAATCCAAAGGAGTCACTGCTCAGCGCTGTGAACGATTCTTTTCCATCTCTTTCCACTAAGAGCAGAAGTTATACCTCTGCTACACTTCCATCTTCTGTGACCCGGGACTTCACAGGTCCACCATTCCCAGTACGTGCAGCAGAGACAGCAGTAAAAAATGGAACACAGCTGCAGTTCAGATAGGTTTGGACTTATACTGCTGTGTTGCCTACCCCTTTTCTCAGTGAGATAATGATGGAAAAAAGGTGCAAGCCTTGTCTTTCTTTGCTTCCTGTGGTACTCCCAGGGGTGGACCTCAAAGCTGGGAATTGCAAGTGGAAAAACTTGCTGTAGCTAGAAACTGAAATGAAAATTCAATTGCACGTCTCTGGAAAGGAAGGGGTAATTACAAGATCACTAGATTGGTCAACTGAAAATATTACTGAGCAATTTATTAATAATAATGTAATCAATTATACTGTTGAAATCAGTGTTATATTTTTTTCAGCACATATGTGTTATCAATGATCATGGCAAAGCGAAATACAGAGTCTGAAGCAGTAACATCCTCACCTGAAGATTTATAAGCTCAGTGAAGCAGAAATTTGACTACACTCCCTCGAGCATCTCCTAGAAGAGCAGATCAATTGACCTGTGTTTCTTTCAACTCAGTATAATAAGGGGTTTATTCTAGAGATACTGATTAAGATTTATAGAAGTGAGAGCTCTTATAAAAAATGTGAAGTAGAGGGATTTTAAAGTTATTACCTTTTTTAAGTATTAAAATTACTGCATAAGATGCCTTTTGACTAATAATTTGTCTGCCTCAAGTCTCATTGTGAATGCATCTTTTCTTCCTTCAGTCGGTCATTCTACCCATGGCAATTCATGCACTTCACTGTGTTGCATAAGATGATTCAAAAGTGCCATTCTGTGTGTGAAGTTTATTTTACAGAATTTTATTGACTTCTGCATCCCTTTAGTCTTGGTTGGATATGCTGCTGCCAAATTGAAAGTATTATTTTGATTTAATTCCACAATTCAAAAGTTTCAGCTGAAGCTGTATGTTGTATGATAGGACATTTCTGGCAGTCCATTACAGCCTCTTCCGAACACAAGTTTTAACTCTCAGAATGTGCTGAATTAGAGTTCTTGTACAAAATGAACCTTTGCAAGACACTGTTGATCTGAAACTGGAAGATGTCATGGGTTTGGTATGTCATGTAGCCATAGAACCTAACCTGTTCAATGTGCTGAATTTTAATCAAGACAAAACAATGCCAGGCAGGTTTCAATTTCTGCGTGGTATCCTTTTACTTCTATAGGACACAAACAAGTGAAAAAATTAACATAGTGTTCTCCTGTGTGTATATTCTTAATTAAACCTCATTAAGCACAAAAGTTTAACGCTAGTCAGACAATTATTCAGTTATGATTTGATTTTTTAGCATGTCTGAGTTGAGACTTTTTGTAACCATTTGTCATCTTTAAGAATACACATCTGACAATGTTGGAGAAGACTTATAAAAAAAGAAAAAAATGCATAGGAAAACACAGAAAACCAGTTAACTCATGAATATTGCAGACCTTAGAGATTCCTTTCTTCCCTTATACATCATGTTTGAAGAATTTTGTTAATTTACATGCTGTATTAAGTGTGAAAAATTTAATTCTGTACTGTATGTAACTGTTTTCAACAACGTCCTGAGGGGAGCCAATGCAAAGTAAGTAGCTGTATGTCAATAGCTTTGCTCTGAACTGTAAGAGGCAGATTCTTATTAGTGTCAGGTTCCTTTAAACTAATAAAGAAATATTAAGAACACTTGTTACATTGCACAGTTGTTTATTTTCCTACTTCAGCATATTTGGTACATCCTGTAAAAGCTTTTAAAAATATGTGTTTCACTGGTAATCTAAACATACCTTATGTATGTATCCTATGGCTCATAAGCTATTGTTATTTGGATAAAATCCATGATGTTAACGGAACGAAGAAGATCAAAGAATTATTTTGATTGCTAGAGAAATGCATTAGCCCTCTCTTCTTTACTCTTTTAGCCTATATTTTTTAAGATTTCTGTTGAAAAGCTTTCCCCCATAGAATAACTTCCTTCTGTTTTAGAGAAGAAGGCACACCCATACAGCCCCTGGGAGAAGCTGGTGCAAAGAGTTTCATCTCTTTTTCTTTTATTAGAATGTTAAAGTTTTTCTTAATGTTTCCGATTTCTATGGATTTAGTAGTATTGGCACGTTGCGTATGCAGACATGCTTAGGCTTAGTCTAGAAGATCCGTTAGGTTATTTCCTTTATTTCCTTACTTCTTAAAAAGTCACAATTGAATTCGCCTTGCTATGATGATCAGCCTTCAGCAACAACAAAAATAGAGCGAGTAAATTAGTGTGAAATCAGTGGGAAAATATAAAGTACTGTAGATGCACATAATTCAGACTGTGTTAAAGTTGTTTCACTGAAAGATTAAGATTGTTAAAATCTACATACTTAGTAGAACAGACCAGATTTATAGAAAATATAAGAAGAACTGGAACGTTTCTTCAAATTAATTTTATTTCCTCCTACCATCATATTTTTAACATTGTGAAAAAGCACCATACAGATTTCACTAGTGAATTTGCATGTACAATTATACTGTGAATAAGAGGTTTTCTCTTCTAATGTTGCATTTGAATTTTGTACCTTTATATATCTGAGCATGTCCAGATGTCTCAGCTGCCATCCATGTTACTCTCTGCTTGAAGCACTTCCGTCTGAAAAATTAGTTTTCAATTACTTTAATAATCAGATTCCAAAATATCATTAGTGTAACTGAGGGAACAGCCAATTACGCATGTATGTCTGATTAGTATTAGGTCTAGTTTCTTTGGTGTGCTCAGGTAGTTTAAAAAAATCATGTTTTTTCTGTAGCTGTCTCCTGGTTCAATGATAGCATTGATTCCGTTCCTTTAACTAAAATGCCACTAAACATTTCTTCAGTGGTGGTTGCACCCTGTGACCCACAAAGCAACGTGGTTGTTTTAAAATCAGTTCAGCAACATCTGCTACTAAGAAGCGAGGATGTTCTTTACGGTCCGCTATTTTTCTGGACATCGCGTTTATGTATTTGGTGGGCACCCATTTTTATCCCAGTTTTTCTTCTCACGCGCTCTGAACACCAGCATCC